AGAGGTGCAAAGAATGTCCTCCATCCTAATCGTGCATTTAAAAAAGTATTAATATCAAATTTTTTTTAGGTGTGTATTAAAAAATAATTTTTATTTTTTTTTGAACATGTAAAAAATAATTTTTATTGATTTATTTATATTGAGAATTATTAGGTCTTTTTTTTTAGGGGATAATCTCCCATTTAATAGTCTTAGACTGCTGCTCGGGACAAGTTGATGTAATCTAAATTGTAAAACTAAAAATTTTAATGTCAAGATAAAAAGAGGGAGCACATTAATTTCTTCCAAAAATTAAAATTAAATTAATATAAAAAATTAGTGTCTAATTGATGAGCAAAGTGGTAATACTTTATTTTATAAGGGAAAACACTCTCACTCTACTATTAAAAATATGTTATAAATATAATAGATAATTTACTTTATTAAAAAATGATTTAAAAAATTAAAGAAAAAAGAGCCATGAATTGGATTGGGCCACGTACAAGTAACCTTACATTGGGTTGCGCTTCCAACCAGATCCATTAACTCATCATCTCTCTTTTTTTTTAACACGTGTACGGCAGAGATAAGGATGCACCAGAAGATCGGTAAACACTCACCCCACTCTTAATAAAAGCCCCCCAAAACCCTAGCTTCCCTCTCATCACAAGCGGGCGGCGCCACACCACAACACCCATCAAGCTTCAGCCATGGTCTCTTCATTTTCTTCCCCTCCAGAGATTTCTTGGATCTTTGTTACCAAATCTAGCAAAAATGCTAAGAATTGTGGTGTTTTGATCCTTTTCTTTGCGATCTTTTTCGCAGGGGATCGACTTGAAGGCAGGAGGTAAGAGTAAGAAGACCAAGAGGACAGCTCCCAAGTCCGATGATATCTATCTCAAGCTCCTGGTCAAGGTTGTAGCTTTTGCATAAATCTTATGGATTTTCTATATTATGGGTTTGATCTAATATCTGTTTGGTTTGTCAGCTTTACCGGTTTCTGGTAAGGAGGACCGGAAGCAAGTTCAATGCTGTGATTTTGAAGCGCCTTTTCATGAGCAAGGTCAACAAGCCTCCACTTTCGCTCTCTAGGCTCATTTCCTTCACGAAAGGAAAGGTATTTATATGATTCTTTTTGATTCTGTAAATGGGTTCTGTTTAGATTTTTATTATTATTTTTAATCTGTATCTAATTCTGCATCGTTTATGTGTGGTTTTTCATGGGGTTTTGTAGGAGGACAAGATTGCAGTTGTTGTGGGGACTGTGACTGATGACATCAGGGTTTATGAGGTTCCTGCCTTGAAGGTTACTGCCCTCAGGTTCACTGAGAGAGCTAGGGCCAGGATTGAGAATGCTGGTGGAGAGTGCTTGACTTTTGACCAGCTCGCATTGAGGGCTCCATTGGGGCAGAACACGGTATGATCCTTCGCTGGTGTTAAATTGAATTTCTGTTTTTCTTGCGGTCTTGTGCTATTTTGCATTAGTATACTTTCTAAATTCCAGTCTCTTACGTAGCTTGATATAAATGTGGTTTGTGGGTTGATATTGTAGAAAGTTTATGACCCTTCTTTTTGTTTTTCCTGTTTCTGGGGTGTTCTATAATGTTCATTTTTATTGAATTTTGGTTTTTGCTTGGTTCTCTCAAATCTCAACATGGAGAGGAAATAATGTCCTTATGGAGTTATTATATTATCATATCCCAGACTCCACTTCGTATGGTTAGTGCAATGGTCATGGTTAGCAGAATACATAGGCAGCTTTACAATGTCTTTTTAATTGTTTGGCTTTGATCATTTTTCTTGCTTTTTGACTCAAAGAGTTGTGCTTGTTCAGTGCCTCATGAAATATATGGTATAAGCGTGCAGCTAGAAACTCTGTTACTACTTATTGGTAGCTAGAGAATTTTATGTGATTGTTAGGGTTCTTCTCTCTTGATCTTATGAAAGATGTTTAGTGCATGCACCTTGTCTATCTGCTTTTTGTGTCTTCATATTGGTACGAGTAGCTGATTGTGAAAAACTCTTGGTGGTGTTTTCCAGGTTCTCCTCAGAGGACCAAAGAATGCCCGTGAAGCAGTTAAGCACTTTGGTCCTGCTCCCGGTGTTCCACACAGCCACACCAAGCCATATGTCCGGTCAAAGGGAAGGAAGTTTGAGAGGGCCAGAGGAAGGAGGAACAGCAGGGGATTCAGGGTCTAATATGATTCTATTGTTCTATTATGAGGCTTATGTGTTGTTTTTGATTATTGCAAACCAAATTTTGCTAGACGCTAGGTTTCCCTGGCAGTTATCTACTTATATTTGTTACTTTTGTTGGATGGATTGTTTGGAAATCAGTTTCCCTTTTATGTTAAAGTTCTGCCTTGAGCATCTCTCTAATGACACAAACAAATTATATCAAGTCCATTTGTTTGTCCAATGTGAGATGATTGAAAAATAGTCTGGTAGAAGGTTTTGCAGGTATAAATTAGATTTCAACAAGCGTTTCTAAATGAAGTGAGTAGTAGTTTATATTATTAAATTCCAACATTTTTATTGCTATAGTCTTCAACCCTAATTTAATTGCTACTATTATTCTTACAAGTTGAAAAAAACTATCCAAAGATAAACAGAGCCAAGAGGCAGTTTATGGTGGCCAGAAAAGAAAAGGGCAGATTAAAACTTCTCGAGGGCGTCTGTGTGTGGCACATCTCTTTTGAACCCTTCGGGTGAAGGAATGTGCTACTCATGGGCTATATACCGTAACGTACAAGTGAGAGATGCATTTGGAAGGGCCAGAGATATACAACAGGAGGAGTAGTTATTTGTTTCTGCTGATAAGATAGGGATTCATACAAATTTTTTTTTTGTTCTTTTTAATTAGATTGTATAATGAGATGCAATTCTTGAATTCAAAACCTCTTACTTTTAGGAGAAATGGATTACTATGGATTACTAATGAGTTACTTATGTCATTAGCATATTCATGCAAATGTTAAGAACTAATTATATTATACACTTGAGTAAAAGTTAAAATATCTAGACATTTAAAAGAGATGAGAGATTTGTTTATACAAAATTCTTTCAATGAATGAAATTTATTATGATTTTTTAGATAAAAAAGATAATTATCTTTAATAAATGTAAATAAATGCTAACAAATGAAAGTGAAAAAATAAATAATTGATTAGATTTTTTGTAAGTATGATATGTAAAATTTGTTTATAGGTGAATCCTTAATTTTTTAAAATATTTGAATTGCATGTAAAATTATTAAAATATTATTCATTGCATTATTAAAACAGTCTCATTTTTGCCGAAAAAATTAGGGTATTTTAGTTTTTTTAATAAAAATTTATTAAAATAATATAATTTAAAAATATTTTTCTACTTAAATTTTTACGGATAAAGCTGAGAAAAGTTTTTTTTCCTTTTGCAATACACTACTTGGATTGGATTAAAAAAGTTTTCAAATGCAGATAATTTTAAATACATTATTTGAGTACATTAATATATATATATTTTTTTTTCTTATGATGATTATATTAAAATGTTATCCATTTGAAAACTATAAGAATTACATCCCTCATACAATTTGGTCTAATCATTAAAAGTATTTTAGTAACGTTTAAAGAAATATAGATTCTGTTTTTTTTTTTTTAACATATTATAATTATTTATATATTAATTGGAGAAAAGGAAGCTTTAATTAGGGTTCAACACCACTGG